TAGAGGTTGCCCAGGTTGTTGACCGTCTGCAGTGTCGACGAGTGGCCGACCCCGAGTGCCTCCTCCTTCCCTCGCAGCACCCGCTTGTACATCTGCTCTGCCTCGCCCAGCCTGCCTTGGTCCGCGTAGAGTTCGCCTAGGAGATGCATAGCATCGAGAACAGTCTCTCGCTCTTCGCCCTCGTCGACGTCTCCATCACTACTGTCCTCGGCTCCCCTATCCCAAACTGCATTGCGCTCAACTACCTGACTAGAGCACGCCTGCGCATGTGGAAGAAGTCGGCGTTGCAGCGCAGCGTAGTCGCGAGTAGAGCTTTCCGGCACAGCCCAACCTACAGCAACCACCGCCAGTCGACTCAGCTCTGCTGTGAAGCGCTTGCCTTGCGAGTGATGCGCCCACTGGTGCACCACCGGGTGCGTTGCATAGCTCCCCGTCTCTTGCATCTGCTCTGCTAGAGAGTAGTTGCACACCAGCTGCATCGCCCTGCTAAACTTGATCTCGCTGCTCGCAATGTCTCCGACCCATCCCGACAACATCGCAGCAACTACAAGAGAATCATCACATGCAGCAGCGAATAAGCCGTGCCATAGGTCCTTGTTGTCCAGGAATGACCACAGCAGCAGCAGGTTGGCCGTATGCTCATGCCGCTCGCGGATCGCCTGGTACGAGATGGCCCACGTCGTCCACACGCTGCGCTCTGGGTAGTCCTGCAGCGGCGCGTCGGCTACGTCGTCCGACGTCATCAGCTCGCTCCACTGCTGCTCGTAGAACCCCAGGTATGTCGTCAGCCCTACTCCGCTCTCTTGCAGATACGCACCCGCCTGCGCAATGGCGAGCGGCAGGCCGTCTAGCAGCGCAAGCAGCTGCTTGCTCTCAGCTGCATCTATAATTCGCTTGTCAGCTTCGTTGGCCTGCAGCTATGTATCGCCTACTCTCAGCTTACCGTGCTTCTTCTTGTACCAGCTGTCCAAGATGGCCTTCGCTTGTGCCTCGTCTACTTTGCCCAGCTGCTGCGAGTCTCCCAGCTGCTCCAACCGTGCCAGTCGAGTCGTCACCAGCACCGACCCGTGGTCTGTGTGAGAGAAGTAGCGCTTCACGTCGTACGCATCAGGGTCGCCTCCTTGCGCCGTATACTCTCGGTCGACGTTGTCGAAGATGAGCAGCCAGGCGGTGTTGTCAGGCCGTGCAAGCCAGACCATGACGTCCTTGACTACTGCGTCGATGTCAGCGCTGGCATCTGCTGCGTATTGCCTGCTTGTCTCGGGGATCTGGCCTTGCGGGATCCTGCCCGCGCAGCTCGCGATGCTGCGCTTGAGGATGTCCTCACTGCGTCCGTCTAGCCAAAGCACCGAGCTGAACTGGCGATGATGTCGTCGTGCAAACTCCACCGCCAGCTGCGTTTTGCCTATCCCGCCAAGCCCACGCAGCACGTGTATTCTTTGTCGGCCATTGTGCTGATGTCTAGGCACGAGAACGCGTTCGAGCTCTGCCATTTCGCCCGGCCTGTCCACGAACTGACGCGTTCGTGGGACGCCGTCAAGGCTAAAGTCAGTTTTATATTCTCCAAAATCTAGACATACTTTAGCTACAGACCACAATGGAAGATGGCGTTTGCACTAACACTCTCGCCCTGCGATACTGCCCGCGCACGCCTGCATCTGCCGGTGCACCTCCTGCGAGCTGATGTACCGCCGCGTCGCTGCCGCCATCTCCTTGACCTTCTTAGCCTCCTCCAGCCCGATGTCCTCCAGCCCCCGCACCACGTTGAACCGGTAGTACCGCCCCGTGCTGTCCAGCAGTCCCCGCTCGCGCCGGAACCGCTCCGCCGTCTGCTCTGTCTCCGTGGCTATCGCCGCCAGCGTCTGGCCGATGTTGAAGACGTCGTCCTTGAACGCCTTCAGCGACGGCACCCCCGTCCCAATAGACACTACGCACTTGATCTTGCCTTCCAGCGGCTCGGGGCCCCACGCCAGCTGCGCCTGGTCCCACACCTCTCGCACCGGGTTGTTCGCGCCCGTCGCCCCGTCCACAAACTGCTCGCCATATCTGCCGACGGCGATGGGGTCGAAGAAGGAGGTCGCTGCTGAGGTGGCCCGGCAGGCCTCCCATATCGTCACGTTGTTGAGCAGGTCGTTGTTGCCGCGCGGGGTCTTGTAGCTCGTCAGGCAGACGGTCTCGCTCGTCTCCTTGCTTGTCGCGCACACGAAGCTGTGGGCGTTAGCCTGCATTCTAGCAAGAGTGCATCCCTCGCCTACACTTTGCACCCCGCTTCAGGGACATCCTTAAGCAGCGCGTCCTCCTTAAGGCCTTGCTGCTTCACTACTTCTTTTACCGCCCGCGCCAGCTCGTCTGCGTCGAAGCGGCCCTGCACCTGGCCCTTGACCGTCACCCGGTGCCGTGTCTTGCAGAACACGCGGTCAGAGAGCGACAGGTATGCGGTGATGCAGTCGGCCACGCTCATCTTCAGCCGGCCTAGCATCACAGCGATCAGGCTGAAGTTCTGTCGTCAGCGCTCTTCCTATGTCTTAGTAGCTTAGTAACTGCTCACCCGCCAGTGCTCGTCCCGCCGATCATGTCAAAGTAGTCGCACGGCTTCAGCGGCACGTCTGGGTCGACGGCCTCCATCAGCTGCTCGAGGATCATCAGGGCAGACAGGCCGCGGACGCCGCCGCCGTCAAGGGCGAGCAGGCGCAGGTCGCTGCCGGGCATGGTGTGCTCGTCAGGTGGAAAGAGGAGGAGGGGGAGGATGAGTATCGATGCCGAGTCGTCGTGGGACGAGGCGTGGTGTCTGTTCTACATGCTGGCGGTCGCCTCGAGCTGGCATTGGGGCGCAGCGTTTCCGCCCCCAACGCGTGCGGCTGAGGCGCGCGTCTCGGCCGTCTGGCAGCTGCCAGCATGCATAGTTGGTGGAGGATCATAGGCGGAGCGGCAGGTAGACGCGGGGCTTGCTGGCTGCATGTCGCTTATTGCTCGTCGCTGTCGTCATCTGTCGCCTACCGGTAGGCTCTGCCTGATGCGACGCGCTTCGACCTGTACATGGGGGTCTCATTAGAGTTGCCGCGAACTAATGCACTCCACCTGCTTAACTTCTAGGATCACACCCGGGCTGTGCGTCGATCGTGGCACGGCTGTTTGCACTAAAACCCGCCCCATAGCGCTTTGCACAACGCCAATCTGATCGACGCAGGCTCCTACAGTAGCGCGGTCCTTAGTACTCGCTGCAGCCTTGCTGTTCGCAGGAAAACAGCTAAACATCCACGACATCTCTCACCCAACTTCATGCTAAGAGATGATGTATCGCGAGCGTGTGTCATGCTGCTGCTGCGCAGCTCTCTACTCGCGTCCTGTCATTGGTCGATTACGTTGACACGGGTCAGCTTATGACGAGTGGCTTCCATGCGATTCCTCTCTTAGAGAACAAGGGTGATCTCTATGTGAAGCAAGCAGAAAGTGCGAAAGCTCGAGTGGTGTACACAAGGGCTCTTTCTGGGCTGACGAGTGTGTTCGGTGCGTCGAGCGAGAGGTGCATGGGCTTAGCGGCCAAGATAGACGCTTTGCCAAGTGCTAGTAGAAAGAGGGAAAGGCAGTCGAAGCTTGCAACAGTAGAAGAGAGGCCTGCACTAAAGCACGACCAAGCGACGAAGAGCTCAAAACTGTCAATGCGGAGACTCATGCGGAAGTTGTGTTAACAGTACGCTTTCCTTTATTGCTTCCTCTATATCGAAGCTATGCTCCAATTGCTAGTATATCTAAATATCTTCTGTTTTCTGTAGAGACAACCTGTGCTTAGAGAACTGTACCGTACGCTGTGAGATGCTTACTAATAGTTGTAAGAAACAAGTCCAGCAGTTTTTGCAGGCAAAGAGCGAGAGGTCGTGCTAGGCGGAGCTAGAGCGATTGAGGAAAGGCGTGCACTAAGCGAGACAGGGGTAGGCGTGGGATGACAGTTAAGCGGCGTGTGCAAAGCGGAAGCTGCAAGTGCATGGGAGTGT